ATCTGATCAATGCCTTGGAAGCGAACAAATTGACTGGTATGATCGCCAACACTACCATCGAACCGGGACCCACGATGCGCATTTCAACGGTCCCAGTAAAAAGACAAATGCAAGCAATGCAAGCATTTATTGGTAGTGCCAGACAAGAGTGGATTGGGAAAGGGAGAGACATGCGGTCTTTATGGGATTGATCACAGTCTGTATATTTTCAAATTAAGATGTCCGAATATCAATTCAAGTTTTGATGTTGCTATGCACATTGATATTCAGACAACTTGAATTGATACTGTGACATCTTAAATTGAAAATGATATAGTATAGACTGGATAATGAATAGGTCCATGAAGAGAGGAGAAAACCAAGTGGATAGCTTTGAAGGTCAGGCGTTATATGCTCTCCCGATAGATGTTATTGCTTTTTAAAACAAGTTGACACAAGGGACAAGCATATTATTGTTCTTGTTGTTTTGGTTTTCTTTAATCGTTTGTTTTCGACGTCTTTCTCTTCTGCACTCCAATTCCACTTTATTATTATTATTGTTGCGTTGGTACAATGCTTTCTCGCAAGCTGGTGATACATAAAAAATATATGCTTATAATATGTAATATATACAGAGAAATAATAACGTGGGTGCTGGCTATGTAATGTCACTCCCTCATTAGTCGCACTTCAGGATTTCTAATTGGTCACTGAACGAGGGACAGGTTTACCATTGATAAACCAACATGCAATGTCACATTCAGTCAAGGAATTTTCACGAAGTGTGAGACGCAAGTAACACTTTTCACAGATAGGATAACCCTAGTGAGGAAGGAACACAGATGCTAGCAATCTAAGAGGTGTCATTTGACGTGATACTGGGTATGCTCGCATCAATCAGAGGGGGCTCAATGTGTTGAAGCTGCTAAGTCAGACAGGTACAATTCAGAGCTCTGCATCAAAATCACTTGATATTTCAAGGAATACTGTTTATACTATTATATCCAGTCGAACGATGATCTGGGAACTTGTCAACGCTGGAGCGTCTCAGGAAACATTCCGCTTGAAAACCAAGGAAAATTTCAAGGAAGTTAATGAGGCGATCTTGGTATGGTTTACTGCTGTGAGGGAAAGAGCGGTGAGTTCCCCATATTGGAGAGCGTCGTTTCTAAGAAGGTGACTGAACTAACACAAAATATTGTATTATTGTGGCTTCAAGGCTTCAAATTTTTATTATGAGATATAACTTACAAAGACTTTGCTTTTACAAATCCCATAGGGTGTTTACACATTGGTTCGGATGAAGAATCACAATATCACAGTTAGTTCATAAAAGTAAAGTAGTAAAGTAATATTTTGACGAGCACAGGAGATTATGTTATGTAGTTGGGTGTTGAAATATAACGTTTTCCAGGGCATCATCAAGCTGACGCT